TTACATTAAAGAATTTGACAATAAGACAAAGTATAATGACTGTAAAGAAGACGGGATTATCTTTCAATTCATTCATTATAGAGAAAGAATTACTTCGACCATAGTAAATAACATTTAATAATAATTGATATAGCTAAGTTGTTCCTATAGTTGCACCATGACCATTTGATGCATGGGACTTGCAAATGGGCTGAAGCAATGCACCTCTTCATCCTAGCAACAATGGATTACTTTTCTAAATGGGCTGAAGCAATTCTTTTTTGAGAAGTAAAGAAAGAAAATGTTAATTTCCTTCGAATTCACATTGTCTATCACTACAGCATTCTACGTTACATAATCACAGATAATGGGAAGCCATTTTCAACAGCATTGGTGATGCAATTTTTTAACAAGTTTGGCATTAAGCAGAAGTTTTCAACCATGTATAATGCAACAACCAAGGGACTTGCAAAGGCCTTTAGCAAAGCCCTTTGTAAATTACTTGAGAAGATCATGTCCAAATCCAAGAGAAATTGTCATGAATGCTTGGATGAGGCCTTACGGGCATATTGGACATCTTACCGCACTGTTACAAATGCAACTCCTTTTGCTTTAGTATATGGTGTAGAAGCTATACTCCCCCTACAGAGACAAATGAACTCCTTAAGGATGGCTATCCAAAAGGGGATTATAGAATATGAGAATGCAAAGCTACGACTAGCTGAGCTTGAAGTGCTAGACAAGAATAGGTTAGAAGCTCAACAAGAATAGAGTGCAACCAAACTTGTTTGGCTCGTGCATTCAACAAGATGATTYATCTTCGCTCCTTTCAGAAAGGAGATATTATCTTTGTTGTTCGACGACCTATTGTTCTCTCACACCATTCAAGGAGGAAATTTAACCCTAAATGAGATGGGCTTCATGTGGTGGAAGAAGTCTACACTAATAGTGTTTATCTCCTTGTTACACTAGAGGGTTTACATCTTGGGCCCATTAATGAAAAATACCTAAAGAGGTACTACCCCTAATCTTTTGCATTGTAAAGCCCTTGGCTCGCATGAGCTTAAATTGTGAATGGAAAAATAAAACAAAAAAAGTCTTTTACATTGTAATGCTTCTGGCCTATGTGAGCTTGAACTATAAACGACAAAAAAAAAAAGTCTTTTGCATTGTAATGCTCCTACCCCACACGAGCCTAAACTATGAACGGCTTATCAAACATAAAGGTTTCTTTTTCTCTTTTCGAAGACAAAAAAAGGGGAACTCTAACTTTATTGCTCAAGTACATTGTTTACAATACAAAAAAAAAAGTAATTATGTCTCTCAAATATTTTATTGCTTGGGACCTTGATGAATCCAATCTACTTTGGAAAGAGCCTTGAATGTATCTAGAAGTTCAGATATCATCTTGTCTATGCCTTGTACTTCTTCTTTGCTTGCAACCTTCACTTGTTTCAGCTCATTATATCGAGCCTTTGCAGCTGCAAGTGCCACCTCACCCTCTAGTTGGTTTTGGGCAAGAATACTATTTTGAGATATTAAGGAATAATGTTTCTCCTCCATCTTTCGCCTCTCATCCTCAAGTGCTTGTAACTTTTCCTCGATTTGACATCGTGCATCTTCAATAGTGGCAATCTTTGCCTTGATCTGATCCCTTTGACTACTGATGGAAGTTGTATTCAACTCCTTTGTGGCAACTTTCATGGATAAAAATGATCATTCTTTCTCATTTTGCTTTTTAGTTGGAGCATTCTTAATTCTATCTCTCTAAATAAGGTACCCCTTATTGGATCAAGGAAGAAGCACCAAGGTGGAAAACGCCCTCGAGGGCCTCTACAATCGAAGGACACTTGGTTGTCCGCCAACCTTTCATGTAATTGAAACATTTTTTTGCTGGTAGGCACCAACTCACCCTTTATGAAGCTTCTTATTACTTCTATGTTTAGGAAGCGTGCACATACCGCATAATCTCCAATAGGACTAGTAGACCTCTTAGAACAACTTGAAAACTCTGACACTACTTGATCTGTGAAATAACCTCTTTGAAAAAGAGATGATGAATTATGAGAGTTGGAAGAGGTGACACTATGAGAATGGTAGGATGGAATGGACTGTACTTTCTTAGTGTGATTTTTGTCTTGCATATTAGAAGATGCATGCTCGAGTGCCTCATCATTAAGAAGAGAGAAGTCATCAGTGTTATCTCCCAATGCATTCACTATATTCTCTATGACATCTATGCCGATAGTGTTGTTATGAGGTATCTCTGGGAATGGCTCCAAGTGATGATTCTCTGGCTGTAAGAAAGAGAAACTACATTAGTGGAAAAACTAAGGCAACAGAAACAAAATCAAAATACAAAGTATAGATTTTACTACTAGCAATGGTACAGGGTGACAGATCTAAGGGAGGAGCTGAAATTTGAGAGGGTTAATTGATCTCTGATGACTAGTTAGTTACCACGTCAATAGACTCCTTACCCTTCTCTTGGGCTCCCTCAAGAACATTGGAGAGAGCACGCACCAATGACTTAGCTCATTAGCGAGATCGTTCAACAGGTACATCAGTCTCCTTGTCATAGTTTGCTAGTAGAAGAAGATCTTCTCTACTTCGTAGATTCTGAGAAGCATCAATATCTTTGACTATATGTTGTTGGGATGTTCTTAAAGTTTGTACCTCTTTGGGATCATCATCCAATTCAACTACATCGGTGGGGTCCTRATTTTTGAGGCATGCCCGAGTTTTTAATAATCGACTGAACCAAACAATGAGATACATGGGCATTTGTTGAAATGCCTATGTGGATCCGACGTGGCACCGTTTTTCTGAAAAACGACAACAGTTCCAAACATCCCCTTAGTTTCTAATGCCCTAACTCATAGAGGTAAGTAAGGTGTCTCTTCTATTTGGAATTCCCCTTTGAATTGGTTAGAGGATTGTGTTGTTGTTGACTTAGTGCACAACAATGCAACCTCTAGTAGTTTTTTTTGTTTTGTTTTTTTTTTTGTTTTTTTTTTGTTTTTTTTTAGCCTTTGTTCTTATTCTATCTTGTTTGTTTACCAAAAGAATGGAAACACAAGAGCTTCCAACTTTTCTATTAGATTTGTTATATGCCAAGATGCATAAAATAGTTAGTTATAATTACACTCAACAGGTACATAATGCCATAAACTTCAAGGGGGTGTTTGGAAGTTGGATAGCCTGGGTTTGTGCAACATAACCATGCATGGTTGGTTACATAGTCCATGATACACACTTGTGTTCATAGCAAACTTGGGCTCTTCAATTTCCAAACATCTCCCTTGAAGTTTTATGGTTGCATGTACACATGGAATGTAACCACATGCTACATGTTACACACTCTCACCAATTGTTAGGGAGGCAACTTGGTTGAGCCCAACTTTAGGGCTATAAGTTAGGTGTAGGTGTGAGACGTTGGATATGCATTTAAGGGTTTAAGATTGAAGCATTGAATAGAGAYGCTTAGCAAGGTTGATCCTTAGAAATGAAGGGGGCATTCTTTTTTTGGATTTTGAGAGGGGGGAAGTTGGTCAATGGGATTTTGGTTCCCATTAACCAAGAATCCCATGTTCATTTTCTAGATTAATGTGGGGAACAGGGAAAGTTTATTTTCTTGGGTATCATACCCATCTCCTAGGTGGGTAAATAGCTTTCCCACCTAAGAGGAAACTTGCTAACACTTGAATGGGACAAAAATGCCCTTTTTAATAATAACTTTTTATGATTAAAATAGTCATTACCTTATTTACCTTAGAAATAAAAAGAACATGGGTAAATGTACTTACCCAAGTAAGTGTTTCCCAATAAAAACTTACATAGATAATTGCATTTACCCGGATAAGTAATTTACCAAAAAGTGAACAGAGCCGAAATAGCATCTCGAGAGAATACATAAACCTCACAAGGTGAAGAACCTCGCAAGTGCATCCTAGACACGGCCTTGTCGGATTGAGTAAGATCCAACTAGCGAGGCTTGACCTCATATGTCAAGAGTTCTAGAAACATGACTCTAGCATTCACAAACCCACTTCAAGTCATCATACATGTAATTGTCGCTTCAAAGAAAACATGATTGATTGTACCTAATGGTTGTACTAACATGTGTCATCTCTTGGCCTTTGGGAACATGTTTTAATGACCTTGTGGTCCACTTTGGATAGTGTCATCTAGGGAAAGAAAGGCAGGATCTGCCTCCCACATGTCAATTAGGCTATGAATATTCTGGAATATGCTTGACTATACACATAGCTTGATTTCCCATTTCTATAAATAGGGAATCGGCTTTTGATTGGACCTTTTTCACCCTTCATTTAATTCTTTTTTAGGCTGCGTTTGTTTGAAGTGTAAGTTTCATTGATGTAAAACTCCACCAATGGAGTTTYACACCGAACTGTTTGAAAAAAAGTGAGCATTGAAAATGTGTCTATCGATGTAAAAGTTATATTGATTTTATCGATATAGTTTTTACATTGACAATTGGTGTAAAACTTTACTATAAGTGATGTTTTACATCGATTTACGATGTAAACTAAACTTCCATCTAAATGCCTACAAAATTGAGCCGTTGATGACTTCTACACTGCATTCAAACGCCGATAAAACCAAACCGAAAGTAATGTTTTACATCAATAATGTTTAATACTGCAAACAAACACAACCTTAGCTTTTCAGCCTTTTGGCTATCTTCTTCGTCCTCATACTTGTCATTCACAGACCCACCATTCTCCAAACCTTAGTGGCGTTCTTCACTTTGCTTTCGAGGTACACAAACCATCCTCATCGAATAGGCTTACACTAGGCAAAAAAACTTAGGCCTGATTTAAACTAGGTTGGACTTGGGTTAAGGTATATATATATATATACAGACTATGCCCGGTCTGACCAAACCCGAATTGTATTGGGTTAAGCTCGGTTGGGCCTGGGTTGGAACCCGACCCAACACACCGGAGCAGCACTCCACCAGTCGTCCCAAACTACTACTATTTTTACGGAAGAAAGCGAGAGGACAGTTGTAGTAAGCGAAGTATGGCTTCGTCGTCGGGCAGCGGCTTGACATTCAAGCTGCACCCGTTGGTGATCGTGAACATATCAGACCACTATACGCGAGTGAAGTCCCAGGCACAGCCTCCTCACAGTAGCAGCAATGGAGGCTGGTCGCCGCCTCCTCAACCGCCAAGGGTATTTGGCTGTGTGATCGGAATCCAGCGAGGTAGAACGGTCGAGATACTCAACAGCTTCGAGCTCCTTTACGACCCTTCCACCGAGTCCCTCGACCGATCCTTTCTCGAGAAGAAGCAAGAGCTCTGTAAGTGTTCATTCGATACTAGACACGCTTTGAATTGAACGGGAAGTGACGTGTCTTGGATTTATTTGATATGGTTGTTTGTGGGTTTTCTTTATTTTGAGTTTTTGATATCGGTTTTCTTGTTTTTAATCAATGTTTTTCGTGTTCATAATTATGAGAATTGGAAAACTTTTGTCATCCCACTATTTAAAATTCAACGTTTCTAAGGTTTATGTGATCTGCACGTCTGTGGGTTCTCTTTTTTATTCTTCATCACTTTTTTTGTGGATTCTATTAATTATAAGAATTTGGATGTTTTTCTTTCTGTTTCATTACTGAGTAAAAGCTGATATTTCGTGGGCCTAATTTGATCTGGAATGTCATAGGTTTTCTTTTTTTTTTTTCATCTTTTTTATCAATATTATGTGGGGTTTCTTAATTATTGTTAGGTGTTTAGGGCTTGGGGTTTAATGTTGGGTGATTCATGGTCTAGGGTTTGCTGTTTTCAACGTTAAATTGACTTTTATGTGAATGTACTAGATAAGAAGGTATTTCCAAATTTCTATATTCTTGGTTGGTATTCCACGGGAAGTGATGTACAGGAGTCGGACATGCATATCCACAAAGCTGTAAGTTTCAAATCTTCTTCAACTACAATCGTGATGTGGATTTATCCTTTTTTATTGCAAGATGAATTCATTCGGTTCCCCTTTATACTGGCTCCTTTTATAGCGTCATATCTTATTTATTGTGAGCTATGGTCGTTTTAGCCAGTATAAAAGGAGGCTGCCTTTTTTTGTTTTTTGTTTTTTTGTATTGGTAACAAGTAAATCCGAAAACGTAGGTTTTCATTGCAGCTGTCTTTTTTGTAAGGTAACCTGTGAAAGAGATAAAATGGGAGTTAGTTGACATTGGATTTTTCATTTTGCTTCATAAGGAGTGATTTTTTTTTTTTTTAAAGGGAGCATATCTGGATAAGTAAGTGGCAGAAATAATAGAATTATAGAAAGGAAAATGGGTATGCTTCAGGTGAAAATTCTCTTTGGAAGACTTTGAATCCAGAATGTTGCATTAGGCTGTGTGGCAACATGACACAACTAGGTTTCATGACATCACCTCACTGTTTAGAAATCTAGATGAATTCCTTGTGAAGAGAAAGAAGAAGAAGATGAAGAGTTTCAGCAGTAGGGAAGAAAAGAGAAGAAAGAAAGAGTAGGATGTCAACCAAAATTGAATTAGGTTTGGCCGCCAACCCCTCATTATATTTTATACTTAACTTAAAAGAATAAGAGATTACAAGAATGCCCTTAGTAGGGTGGCTAGTAAAGTAGCTGAATAGTCACAACTTAAAAATACAAGCTAATGGGTCTAAAGCCCAACAACTTCCTAACTTAACAACTTAAAAAATAAGAGCTAAATAACTGGGCCCAATAACTAGAAATCGGCCCAACTCAACACTTCTCCTCAAGTTGGGAGTAAATGTCACACATTCCCAATTTGTGTAGATCATTTTCTAGCTTGTTCCTTTCAACACCTTTTGTGAAAACATCAGCAAACTGCAGATCATAAGCAATGTATGGGAGACAAACTTCCCCAGAAGTCACCCTTTCTCTGATGAAATGTCTATCCACTTCAATGTGCTTTGTTCGGTCATGCTGAACTGGGTTATGGGCAATGTTGATTGCTACCTGGTTATCACAGTATAGCATCATAGGTTCTTCTGCCTGTACACCAATCTCTCTTAATAGGGAACGGATTCAGAGAAGTTCTGAAACTCCATGTGCCATGGCCCTGTATTCAACTTCAGCACTTGGTCTTGCCACCACTGTCTGTTTCTTACTCTTCCACGAGACAAGGTTACCCCCAACAAGGGTGCATACTCCTGAAGTAGATCTCCTGTCATCAAGGCATCCTGCCCAATCTGCATCTGTGTAAGCCTCTAGTTTCAACTATCCATGATCGGCAAACAATATGCCTCTGCCCGGGTGTCCCTTCAGATAAGCAAGAATCCTGTCAACAGCCTCTCAATGTTGGACTCGTGGAGCATGCATATATTGACTTACCACACTTACTGCATAGGAAATGTCTAGTCTTGTTATGCACAAGTATAGCAACCRCCCCACAAGTCTCTGATATCTCCTAGTGTCCTTTACTGGCTCACCTTCTGATGCATTAATTTTGTGATTCTGATCAATAGGAGTATTGATTGCCTTTGTTCCAAGCTTCCCTGTTTCTTGTAGAAAATCCAAGACATACTTCCTTTGAGAGATAAAAATTCCATGTTTTGATCTTGCAACTTCAATGCCTAAGAAATATCTAATATTCCAAGATCCTTAATTTCAAAGTTTCTGTGTAGATTCTTCTTCAGACAATCAATCTCACTTAGGTCATTCCCTGTGACAACAATATCATCCACATAAACAATTAGGACTGACACCAAGGATCYCCTTCGCTTCACAAACAAGGTATGGTCAGATTGAGTCTGAGTGTAGCCAAAAGCAACAAAGGCTTTCCTGAACTTGTCAAACCATGTTCTAGGAGATTGCTTTAAGCCATAAAGTGACTTCTTAAATCTGCATACCTTTCCCTTTTCAGCATCACTGTAGAAACCAGTAGGAATATCTATACACTTCTTCTTGCAAATCTTCATTTAAGAAAGCATTCTTTACATCAAGATGAAATAGGGGCTAAGAGTATGTGGCAACAAGAAAAAGAAGTATCCGAATAGAGGTCATCTTTGCAACTGGTGCAAAGGTCTCTAAGTAATCAATGCCATAGGTCTGTGTATACCCTTTTGCAACAAGTCTGGCCTTATACCTTTCTATACTTCCATCTGCATTATATTTGACTATGTAAACCTATCTGCATCCAACAGTCTCCTTTCCCTCTGGTAGGTCCACAATCTCACATGTCTGATTTTTAATTAAAGCTTCCATCTCTTCCTGCATAGCTATCTTCCATTTAGGTTTGGAGAGATCACTGACACCCTTGGGTATAGACACGGAGTCAAGAGAGGAAAGAAAAGCTCGGTAGGAAGGAGAAAGTCCACTGTAGGATACGTACTGTGAAATACAATGAGCAGTACACTTTCTCTTCCCTTTTCTAAGAGTAATAGGAAGGGGTCCAGGTTATCTGTAATGGGGTTAGTAGAATCAATGAGAACTRAAACAGTGGGGGGATCAAGAGGAATACTTGAATTCGTATCAGCTGAATCTAGAGTCTCCAAGGAACCGAAAGGAAGTGATGTGAGTTCTGCTGCAGTGGAATCAACCTCCTTGTTAATTCTCTGTCGTGAGTAACGCTGAGAAGCAGGACGCAAGGGAGGTGGTAAGGTAGGTGACATAGGAGGAGGCACAGGAGTAGACATAGGAATTGGAACTGGAAGAGGGATAAACTGCTCACTCACTTCCTCAAAACACTCCCCTTGAGAAGGATTCTTCGAGAAAAAGTATGTGGATTCAAAAAAGGTGACATCCATAGTAACATACCGACTTTCAGAGATTGGATCATAGCAGCAGTACCCTTTCTGATTTTCTGCATATCCAAGGAAGACACACTTCTTTGCCTTCGGATCAAGCTTTGAACGGTGAGGACCAAGAATATGTGCAAAGAAAACACACCCAAACACTTTGAGAGGAATATGAAACATCTCCCCCTCAGGAAAAAAGGAGACTGAATGGGGTGCTGAATCCAAGTATACGGGAGGGTACCCTGTTAATMAAAAATACTGATGTGAGAACTGCATCACCCCGAAACCGAACAGGAACTGTAGATGCGATCATCATGCTTCTTGCAATCTCAACAATGTGTCTGTTCTTCCTTTCTGCAACACCATTCTGCTGTGAACTGTAGAAACAACTGCTCTGATGGACAACACCATATTTTAACAAATATGAAGCAAGGTGTTTTTCAAAATATTCCCTGTCATTGTTTGATCTGAACACCTTTATTCGTGTTCCAAACTGTATTAGCACCATCTGATGAAATTGCCTTACCAAGGATGGTACCTCATCTCGGGATCTCATCAAGTAAATCCAAGAATATCGAGAGAAATCATCCACAAATAAGAGAAAATGTCGATAACTACCCATAGAAGGAACATGATAAGGTCCCTACACATCAGAATGAATAACATCAAAAGGAGATGAACATATTTTATTACTAGCTTTAAAGGAATGTCTACAATGCTTTCCAAGTTGACAACCTTCACACTTAAGACTTGACAAACTAACAAACTCAAATAGCTTTGAAAACAAAAGACTCAAAGAAGAAAAAGGCAAATGACCTAAACGATTATGCCAAAGCATAATCTAAATCACCATCCCCGCTGACATGATGACTCTGATGAAGAGGAAACACATCCAGGAGGTAGATTCCATTCACTTCACGACTACTCCCAATCGTCCTCTTTGAATCCAGATCCTGCAAGATACAATGACCAAGCGAAAAAATTACTGAACAGTTCAGGTTCTTAATCAAACAACTAACAGATAATAGATTAGTACTCAATCTGGGAACATGAAGGACAGAGTGAAGGAAAATGGAATCACTAATCTTGACAGACCCCTTCCCAGCAATGGGAACATGAGATCCATCAGTTATGGAGACCCTGTCTCTGCTAGAACAGAGCTGGTAAGAAGAAAAAATAGTGGAACTATGAGTCATATGCTCTGAGGCTCCAAAATCCATAATCCAAAGAGGTCCCTCCTTACCTGAAGTAGAAACATAATTTGTAGTGGCATGTGAACTACTTGTGTGAGCAAAGGAAGTAGAGTGTACTCCACCAGAACCACTTGTACTTGGCTGTCCACCTGTTGCTGAACTAGAACTGGTTGTATCCCGCTGGTTCAGAAACTACCCATACCTTTCAAGTTTGGCCCTTACTGCAGCAGCTGCAACAGACTCCAGAGTAGCTACAGTAGGAGGGGCCGGAATGTCACCAGTGATTGCCATGTGAGCATTTCCCTTCTTATTTTTGAGTCTATTCGGCACAATATGAGGATGAAGCTTCCAACAAGTATCTCTTCTGTGTTTAGGYTTCTTATAATAGTCACAAATCAAATCCCTTTTGTCTTCCTTCTTGATTTCACTGCCACCTCGGTCTCCACTTTGTTTAGGTCTCACAGTGCTAACCATGGCTGTTTGATCAAACCCATAATTTTTCATCATCACATTTCTCCTGCTCTCTTCCCTTGACACAAAGGCATATGCCTGGGAGAGAGTAACACTGTCATTGGAAAGAATGTGCTATCTTGTAGTATCATATTCGGGGTTAAGGCCAACAAGAAATTCAAACACCCTATACTTCTCTAGGAGCTTCTGGTAGGCAGCTGCATCCTTAGTGGTTTTCCAAACAATTGTCTCCAAATGGTTAATCTCCTGCCACAGGGTTTTAAGGGCTGAGAAGTAAACAACAATAGGTCTATCTCCCTGCCTTGTAGCAATAATTTGATTTCTCAATTGATAAGTCATAGCAACATTCTCCCTTTGTGAATAGGATTTTGCAACCCCATCCCATATTTCCTTAATTGTATTTTCCCACAAAAAGTTTTTACTTATATGGGGCAGCATGGAATTACACAGCCAAGTCATCACCATATAGTTCTCCTGTACCTACCGGGAGCTGTTA